CAATACAGTTCCTTTTCCTCACTGACTGTAAAAGGTAGGGTAGAGTCCTCCCTGGGTCATCCCACACCAAGGCAAAGTTGGCATGGCATCTTGCGCCAGCTTATTTACCTCAGCTCCTTTGTGTACAAGCATACAGAGGGCCCTCTTGTCACATCCCCCAGGAGTTGCCTGTTACCCTCACTGCCACCTGAGAGCCGCCAAAACCCTAGAGACATTGCCACCTTTCCGTCATCCATGGAGTCAGGCACAGGTTTAGAGGCTCAGCCCTGAGCCTCCCGACATCATCACTGTCTCCTGTGTTCACTGAGAGCCCAGGCTTTTCTTCCCATCTGGGGGACTTGCGTCCTCAGCAGAGACCTTCAGGATCTAGCCGTGGCCCTGGGACATTCACTTATAAGCCGCATTGTTCAGATTACAGGAGTACACTTGGCCAGTCCTCGATCTGTCTGTGTTTTAACTATACTTCACCCTCAGCAAATATCAAACCAACTAAAAGCCAAAAGGCAGAGAGGTTTTTGATGAGTAGAAATTAAAATCCTGTGGCATTTCACTATCAGACAAAGTTCTACCATTTGCTTTTGTTTCCCCTTAGAGTGAATATACTGTTATTTTCGAATTCTAAAAATAATGCATGCTCATTGTAAAACTAACTCCAGGACCTAGAGAAAAGCTCAAAAATTACCCATGAGCCCACAATTCAAGTTAACCCTGTTGTGCTTCATATATTTTTCAGACTTTGTACATGCACATACAGACATATGGATTTATGTGTATTAAAAACATTTTATGCAGGGAACTTGCCCCTTGTTTTGAAAACTGTAGTATGGTGGCAGAGTGCTGTGGTTCAACTCTTTGAAGTCACATTTCCTGAGTTCAGATTCCAGCTCTTGCGTTATTGGTTTGTGGCCCTGGACAAATTATCTCTCTGTGCCTCAGTTTCCTTACGAGGAAGTGGAGATACTAGTGGTACCTGTTTCAGGTGATTGTTGGAAAAGTGAGTGAGTTAAATGCCTATGTCGTGTAACCAGTTTGGATGTCTTTGATTTGACCTGTTTTATATTTAAATCTATTAACAACCCATGTAATTGGCATTTGCTTAAATGTTTTTATCTATTTGTAGAGCCCATTAAGGGCACCGTTGTGGTCATTGCTGCTCTCCAGACATAGCCTGCAGGAAGTGTTCTAGAGGAGCATTTCAAAACCTTGGGGAAATGATGTACTGTTCAGTGACTGTCGTGGATGACCAGATAACTCTTAGGAAGAAATGGTTAATTTCTTTATTAATCAAAATAAAACTTAGATGGAATTAAAGCCGTAGTAAGCTAGATAAAAATATCCTTTAATATTTTTGAAATCCTAGGATGAAGACTTTTCCAAACATGACCCTAAAGCCATAAAATGTGAAACTATTGATAGACTTAACAGTATGTAAGTAAAATTTAAACTCTGCCCTATAAAAGAGTACCATTAACAGAAGAAGTACAATGGCTTTTTACCTAGAAAGATCATTCTGAGAATTTAATGATAAAGTTGGGAAAAGGCCCTGCGATCTCTCCTCTCCAGCGGTCACTGTAACAGGGTATATTGATTTACTAATTAGGCTGTGCTTTCACCTTATTGGCGGTGCAAGTGGCATCTGCCTGTCCTGCTGAGTGATCCAGCCTGGTAACTGAGGCGGGGTTTATTCAGCCTTCACTACAAGGGAGTTCCCTGTGGTTAGATAAACTGATCTGTTGCTTGGTAACTACAGGATTACTATGGTGGATGCTCACGAAGCCCATTGGAGAGGGGTACGGGTATTTGGAGGGCAAGGAGGGCGAGAAAGTTGGCAGGTTCCCGGGAGCACTGCAGCTTGGCAGAAGGAGGAATTGAGTACCCATCGCATGCTTGGGTTTAGAGCAGTTCGTCTTCCCATCTGTACTTTGCCTTTTCGGCATTGGGCCTTGGAACAAAGGAAAAGGAGACAGGGAGCTGGCCGAGGGACGGACGGGTTTTGTTGAGGTGGCTCTCGTGACAGCAGGTGAAACCCCTGCAGGGTTGGCCTGAGGTTCTCCCACCTGAGGAAGAGGTCTGGGCTGGAAAATGCCGCCCTCTGCCTGCTTGCTGAACTCCGGAACCTCAGCGAGTGGGCTGCTGGCTTTGCATCCGAAGTCAGAACGTGACGAACTAGCCAGGAAAGGTGGCCATGATAACTGAAGGCGTGTAGGACCCGTCTCCAAGACGGGCTTTCTGACGGCGTCCTTTTCCACCACGTGGGATCTCCTGTTCCCTCTCAGTGGCGCAACGTACACACGAGGAATTGCCTCCTTCCATCCCAGAGCCATGGTGTTTGTGAAGGGACAGGTCTTGAGTAGCTGTGGAAGTGGCCCCGGTGGTGTGTGGGTATCCGCCTGTTGAGTAGGCTGCATTCGTGGGTGTGGGCTTTGGCTCTGTCGGGTGGACAGCAGCCTGGGAGCACGGGCACACTGCCTGAGCACTGGTGCTTGGGAGATGCTCCCACAGCCCACACCACCTCTGTAGGCAATTAGTGTATCAGTCACCCCAATAAGATGCTGGTTTTTTATTTTGCCGTAGCAGTAGCAGGAACTATCATTGAAGTGCTGGAGCTTGTGCTGGGGAGAATATTTTGACTGAAATTTTGCATATTTAGAAACTTAGGTTGTTACATTTGAAATTATACACATTGTGAACCTGGCTTTAAACAAGAGGGAAGGGAAAGTACTCCTTCCTGTCAGACCCTTTTCACTCTGTCACATAACCTGACTAAAAATAAACTACAGGCGCAGGCACTGGCAGCCTTCAGTTTGGAACAAGTTGAGTGCACCCAACCGCAGGCCCTGTCACCCAACAACAGGTCAGCCCTCACGGCTCGGACCTCCTCCAGGGACGCAGGTGCACACAGTCCCCACGGGGTGGATGTCCCATGACGAGGCTTCCTGCTCTTTGGGAGGTGGTGGATGCTATCAGAAGAGTCCTGGCCCAGCTGTCAGGGGCCATAGCACATCCTGGCTCCTGTGTGGCTCTGAGGGAGCTGTGTGGCCTCTCCAGACCTCAGTTTCCTAATATTTAATTGTGCAACCCACATGCCAGCTGCCAGCTGCCACCTTCTTTGTCTTGATTTTATCTAATCCTTACACCTAGGAGTGCCATTCTCAGTGAGGAAACTGAGGCACAGAGCCTGAGTCGCTCTGTGTCCTCGGCTGATGAGTGACAGGTTCCAACCCCAACTTCTCCCTCCTTCACCCCGTGGCTCTTCTGTCTCCCCTCACCACTCCCTACTCAGTCACCTGGCTCCTGCCCCATTGTCCTGCTGAAGTGGTCCTTAGGAGACCACAGAGGACCCCCCACTGTCACATCTCAGCCATTTTCCATCCTTGGTGCAGCTGAGTTCTCCTGCCCCGCCTGACGCTGCAAATCGTTCTCTGTCCTGAGTGTGCCTCTTAGCCTCTGCACTTACCAGCCATGTCTTCCTGGGTCAGGTGACCCTCCTTGAGTTTTTCTGTCCTTGTCTGTAAATGAGGCTAGTAACCAGACCCACCTTGTTGAGTGAGGATTATAGGAGGTCATGTAAGTGAATCATCTCCCACAGGCCCCAGGAAGTCTTCCCTGTGTACTTATCTTCCATTGATCCTGCCCCGATGTGCTCACCCCATACACTCCTGGCCCTTAAATGTTATCTCCTCATCATCCCCTTGTTTCAGATCTTTTTTCCCCCGCAGATGCTGGCTTGAATGTGACTTCCCGTATGTTGCAGTAGAAAACAACACTGTGTGACTGTCACCCTGTCCTCAGGTGTGATTGTAAACAAGTGTTACTGCTTAAACTCAGTTGTAATGGGTTTCTACAAGCTTTCAGTCAGGTTAATAGTTCAGTATTAGTCTTATTTCTAATTCTTGGGTTTTAAAGGCATTCTCTTACATTTATTTTGACCACAGTTTCAGTTCAGTTTATTCTCTGATTACAGCGAAGAAAATGCTGTAAATGTAGTAGCAGAACGTGATGTGTGTCTGTAGGAACTCCATAACACTATATCATCCAGAGACATTGCCATTGTGGAACTGAAGGAATTGCAGCAGGGAAGTGTGGGTTTATTAGGAATTGTTTTATTATTGTTGCTTTGGTTAAAATCCTGTCTTAAGAAACATTACTTCCCACCTCAATTTTCATAACCTTTCTTCTTATGTATAATTGAACATCTACAGATTTCCTCCTCTGATCTTCTGATCCATTGGTAAAATTGCCGTCTTCAAACAGTTATCAGGATTCAACATCTGAAATTGATTTTCAACCTTTGGCATTTTCCAAGTGGCTTAGTGTAGGGAGAGCCCTCCCCCTGATACCCGGGTCTGTGTGGGCTGCAGAAAGCTGCTGGTCTAAACCTAGATGCAGGCATTGACCAGGCTGTGCCCTGGGTTTGGGTTTTCTAGGGTCAGAAATTTGTTTACCAGTTTTTTTCGGTTCATAAAGAGTTATCTGGCTGTCATCCCAGCCTTCGCTGTGGGGCCCAGGAGGGCAGCATAGACTTTGCTGGGCTCTGCTCCCAAGGGCTGAGCCTGAAGCCCTCAGGAGGCCAGTTGCTTTAAGCTGCTTAGGGGTTACTGGGAAGCTGCCTCGAGCTTTCCCTGCTTCGTGTTGTTGAGTGTGATGGTGGGTTTTCCCTGTCCGTCGGCAAACTGCTGTATCATACACCTCATTTGCCATCAGAGCATGAGGGTATATAGTTCTTTTTTCCCCATGAAAACAACACAGAACAAAGCCTCACTTTTAAAAATGCCATGATATTTTGCCACCGTTATGAAAATCTGTCAGTGCTGTATCTAATCTTCTGGTGCATAGAATATCAAAACAAGTACTATGGAAGGGATTGTACTTCTGTTAATACAAAAATGTCAGCTTCACAGTCTCAGAAACAGCTGCTATGAGCCTCTTTCTAAATGGGAAAGAAAAATAATAATAATAATAAAGTTTCTTTTCCCTCTCTGCCGTTACTGTTCTTTCAGGCCTGGCCTCCATAAGAAGACCCAGAGTAAACACAGCCTTGCTGAAATCCTGCGTTCGGAATACTCAAGCGGCATGGAGCCCGGCGTCACCAAGGTCAGACAGCAAAACGCTCCCGGAGAGCCGGGCAGCCAACCCCTGCCGCACAGTCTGCAGCCAACACCCTGCTTTGGCCGTGGGAAAACATTAAAATGGAGAAAAACCCAAAAAGGTTTACTGTGGGACAGCAAGACTTCTCAGAAAGTTTAAAATCTCTCCATGTCTTCGAGTGGATCCTGGAAGCCGTGGGTGGCAGTGGATTGATGTCCTGTTCTTGTCGGAGGAGCCTTGTGAAAAATAACTGCCACCTTTCCCTGAATACCACATCCCCAAGAATCAGAGGGGCCACAGCCCTTCTCCTCTGTGGGAGGCCCTGGAGCCTGATAGAAATCAGTCGGGGGGCAGAGGGGTGGGTCGGCACCACAGAGACTAGCTGGCTCCTGACAGAAGGGGTCTGTGTTTTGTATTGAAACCATTGGTGCCAGGCACTCCCTTCACCCAGGTGCTGACGTGCCGGGGTGAGGCGGCACCCAGGACTTGATGTAAGAGCATCCCTGGCGTTGGCCTGGAAGGGGCGGTTTGCTGCCCTTAACTGCGTTCCGAAGTTTCACAGCGTGACTGCAGCCTGCTCATCGGTGCATACATTGGCGTGAATGTTGTGACAGGGTGTTAAAAACCGGAATTGAATTTGTACGAAAAGAGAATAAGATATTTATCAGTAATTATTTTCTTGATATTGGAATGTACTGTTAAAAAGGACCAAAAGTTTTTGGTTTGGGTAAAAAAATATGAATGTGTTTTCAGGCTCGTGGGCCGTCTTATTTTCTTCTGGAAACACGATGTTGCATTTACATGCGTTGCTCCCTCTTTCATGTCCATGGAAAACTCACTCTCTCAGGCCTAATTGATTTACTGTTGCCTTTTTATTATTTGCCTTTGAAGTCAAAAGGCACCAGCATCCCGAGCTTTCTTTCCCTATCGAATCCCGTCTTATCTTCAAGAAAGGTCTGGGGGTCTTTGTATTGTGACCCAGGCCACAGCTGCCCACCTGCCCCTGAATTGTGTTTTCTGGGAGGTTTGAAGGAGGCCCCCCAGAGCGTGTTGATTTCCCAATAAATGTAAGATTTGGGCACTCACAGAGGGGTCCAGAAAAGAAAGGATTGGAGGCCTCTGCACCCCTGGGCACAGCTCCTGTCCTCCTGGCTGTCTCTCGTCTTCTCACTTTGCTTCTCTGCAATGACTGTGCAGCTCTCTGTGGTCTCCCCAGGATGATTGTTGAGGTACCACTTCAGTAGATCCCCCAGATCCACGACAGGCCTAGACGGCCACAAGAGGGTGGTAAGAGTTGGTAAGGTGGGCCTTCCTGCCAGGACCAGGACAAGGGTTCGCATCCTCACCTCTGTTCTAGATACAGGTGAATGTCAGTAGGTACCCACACCAGCAAGGACTCCTGTGTGAGGGCGAGGAGCCTAGTGAGACCAGATCCTCTGCAGGTGGAAAAATGGGGCCTTCTCAGAGTTGGCTGTCACAGACAAATTAACAGGGAATGTTGGTGACGTTTCTAACAATAAAAACAACAACCCTGCAGCACATGTCACACTGACTGTGGGCAAATCTGCCACCTTTCTTTTATTTTGATGTGTAATGGTTCACATGATTTGGATGAGAAAAGGTGGGATCAAACTTTATAGACAAAACCCAGCTGTGTGAAAAACAGGATTAATGCCAGTGATTGGGGATGATCAAAGAGAAACCTTACTTTTTTTCCCCATAGTAGTCATTCCACTAAAGGGCGAGTTGGCAGAGTTCTGCATCCCTGGGGGGAAAGAGAAGTGCTAGAATCGTGCAGCCTGTGAGTGATGATAATTCTAAGATCAAAACTTACACACTTAATCTGCTAACTCTTAAGGTGAGGGTTTCTTGCCATAGATGCTATGTGGGCCTGTTTCCAAGCAGAATCAATATATTACCCCGGTTAATAAAGAAACATGGATTTAACAGATTTAAGGTTAATATTGTTTAAATTTAAATAACCTTAAAATAAATCTCTTTATGGCTCTTGACAGATTATACATTTCAGGCATCAATTAGGCAAAGCTTTAGCCTAATTCCACTGTACATATTCTAATTTTTGTGTGTATGTGTAATCGTACCTCTTCTTAAAATTTCCCAAACTCACCATGTCTGTATGTCGTAAGCCTGGTTCCCATATTTAAAGCCACGCAGAATTTGGACGTTTAATAGAATGTTGTGGCCTAAAAGCGTTTCCCCCAAGTGGGGCTTGTGGAATATTTTTTTGGAATCCAAAATATCCTCACGTTTGCCGCAGCCTTAGAGGTAGAAGGGCCCCATTCTCAGGCATCGAAGGGCCCCATTCTCAGGCATCGAAGGGCAGAGCGTCCTTAGTGAGAGATTAAGTCAGTGCTAATATGGGGCAGACAGCCCCGTCTACTCCTAGACAAGCAACGAGCCAACCAAATTTCAGCAAAGGACTTTTGTTTAAAAAACAAAGCCCAGTGGGTTACTTTGATTTTTTTTCTTTTCCCCTGGAGTGAAGGGAGGTGAACTTTAGGGAAGAGGGGAAATAAGGAAATAAGACCTTTCGGAGCAGGTGTATCCCAAACTGCCAGGGGCTTCCCCCACTTGGCCCTTCAGCTCTTCAGTACAGTCAGTGGAAGGCATTAAAATCCGACGATTGCTTCGTAGAGACCGGAGTGTAAGGCTTTTCCACTGGAGAAGTTGCCCTGCTTGAAAAGGGCCTTGTTAAACCTCCCCCTTGACTATTATACATTCTCTCTTAATCTGCTCCATAGTAGGAAGAATTCAGAGCAAGGCCTGTCAGTGTGGGGTCAGTGGGGTACCCTTAAAATCAGCTCAAGTTCTCAATTTGCCCCATCCTCAATTTCCCTTGCGACTCAGGGACAGCAGGGAGCTCTAAACTTCTTTTCAACTTTGTTGCCCCCACCCCGTAGAGTGGGCGTTTGTAAGGGGGGATGGATCAGTGGCGGAGTGGGGGAAGATGCCTTCTCAGCCCTCTCCTATTGTCAGGCCTGTTGGGGTCCCACATTCATTCTTTTTTTTTCTTACGTGAGAGCTCGCCCAGCCTCAGGGTTGGGAACAGAAACCAATTTCGCCTTCTAAGTGGATGGAAGGCAGGAGCCCACCTTGCTGTGAAGGTTGTGAAGTTATTATTACAGATGGGATGTGCAGGACAATTTAAAATATTCAAATTATAAACTTGTAGGGAAGCCTTGTTCTTCATTAATGTAAGATATGAAATCGCCTCTGAGGTACAAGGACAATTACATAGTTGAGAATGTGTCTGTGATTTACACTGCCACTGTGTAAATGTGAGGGTGCTTGCTGCAGTCTCTCTCCTTCACTTTCACAAAATGAAAAGCACACCAGTGCAAGTTGTCCTTTGATAGATTTTTAATATGATTTTAAAGAGTTTTGTTTGGTCTCATTCTTATTCAATGAGATTAATTTAAAGCACTTATCCCCTGGGTTTAAGTCAATCCATGTAGGATTTCGGCAGGGTTTGCTGCATGGGGGGTTTTGTTTGCAGGAGGCTGTGAGAGACTCCTTTCCCACTTCATTAACCCTGAGTTGGGGACAGTCTCCCCTCGCCCCCACCAGAGCCAGAGCTGGGGATTTACCAACCCCCATTCACATGCAAAAGAACTCGAAAGCCGAGGGGCTCCTTGACTTAATTAGCTGCTGTGCATTTTGCAAAATTAGAATAATACCCTCGCCATCCCGGGAAAGAAAGCTGCTGTGCGAGGGTGTTTGGGGGTAGGGAGGAAACAGTAGCCGAATGGCTGTGGGTCTGGTGTTGAAGAGGGGTTATAGTCTGAACACGGCCCCCATCTTCAGAGAAACCCCGCCCCCAAACTAGAGGGGCCAAGGCTCGCCGGCCCCCCAAAACTTCCCAGCCCTGAGGGTTGGTGAGCTGCAGGTGGTGTGTGGGAGGGGAGCACCTGCGCCCACCTCCCCAGAGAGGGAACAGTCTCAGGTGACCGTGGCCCTTTGAACATGAACTGGAAGTCTGGAGTCTGACTCGGGACTTAAACCCCTCTCCCCTGAGATGCTAGAGCCGCGGCCTGGGGCAGCCAGAAGAGATGGGGCAGACGCTGGGATCTGGCTCCCCTCTGGGTCTCATTTCCAACCTACTCCCGGGGTACAGGGGAGGTGAGAAGATGTGGGAGTTGGGGGGTTACCCGACGTGGCGTCTGGTTCGCAGCGAAGGCGCGCGGAGCCCTGCCTGGTGCAGGAGGCCCGGAGGCCGGAGCCGCGTTGGCGCCCGCGAGCGTCGGGAGCCCGAGCGCGGCCGGGTGCGCGGAGGAGGGTGGGAGTGATGGGGGAAGCGCCTCGGAGCCCATCTGTCGGCCCGCGCCCGGCAGGCCGGTCACCAGCTGCCGGGGCCCTTGACGCGGCCAGATGAGTCGGCTCGACAAGGGCCCCTCAGCCCGGCCCGCAGCCGACCGAGGCCCTTCGCGGACCCCCGCCTCTTCCGCCACGGACCCCCGCCCCGGCCCAGGGGATCGTCTGGGAGCCGGGAGGAACCAGATGGAGCCGAGGAGGAGGAGGGGAGGAACGGGCTTGCCTCGCTGTAGAGATGGGAAGACTGAGGCCAGGGAGGGGAGAGCCCGGCCCCAGCGAGTCTCGTCGGGGCCCCCCCGCAGGTCCACTGCACCGGGGAAGAAAAGGGGGACAAGAATGTTTTGTTATTGAGAATGGAAGGAAACCGAGTCCCCAGGAGAGGGATGGGAGATGGGTTGAGTGCAGACCGAGCGACGGGAGCGCGGACAGGCGCCTGGTCATTTGTAAGAAGTTTATTTCGACATTTAAAAAAGAGAGAACCCGAGAGGCCTGGCTGCCCCCGGACCGGGGCTGAGGCTGGGGGCTGGGGTCGGGGTGGGTGGGCAAGCACCCTCGGCCCTTTCCTGCCCCGCCTGGGAGAGGGGAGGGCACAGGCCACAGACTCACTAATCCACGGACACGGTCACGGGCTCATAGGTCACGAATAAATAACTTCATATACACTTTGCACACGGTATGTACAGCTCAGCCGCCGGCCCAGGCGCTGGAGGGGCAGGGAGACGGGACGGGGCTCCGCACTCCCCTTCTCTCCCTGGCAGGGGCGCGGGGAGATGGGCTGTTCTCCTGGAGCGTGGAAGGCGCGTGGGAGAGAGCGAAGCCTGGGAATCAGCCGCACCCGCTCCTGGGCAGAAAGGGGCGCCTAGGGGAGCAGGCGGAGACTGGGGGCGGGGAGGGGCAGAGACGCGTAGGTACACTCGGCGGGTGGGGGTGGCTCGCGGAGGCAGCGGCCGCGAAAGAGGACGCCGAGGGGGCTGGGGAGACGCAGTCGGGGGTCCGGGCCTCAGTGGACTTGGCATTTGGCCCTTCAGGGGACACTGGGCTGGGGCGCCAGGGAGGGCCGGGCAGGGCCCCTTCCCGGGAAGGGGCGTCGAACCCGCGCCCTCCGAAAGGAGGGCAGAAGGGGCCGCGCCAAGCCCCCGGTAGGAGGCCCCGGAGCGGGCGGGCGCCTCATCGAGGCTGCGCGGCGCGCGGGAGGACGCCGGCGAGCGGGGGCAGCGGCGGGGGCGGCTCGCTGGCGCCCTGGAGTCCGTGGATGAGGATGCGGGGCACCAGAGGTCTCTGGAGAGCGGGCGGAGGCGCGCTGGGGCCGCGGTACAGGTAGAGCGCCGCGCCGGGGTCCAGGTTGGAAACCAGACTCTGCGGGTAGAAATAAGGCGACGGGAACATCCGCTGGAGCGCTGAGTAATTGCCTGCCTCCGCCAGCAGCTCCAACCCGACGGCCGTCTGTCGCTTCCATTTAGTCCTGGGG